ACTTTACTCTCTCTCTATAGATAGATAGATAGATAGATAGATAGATAGATAGATAGATAGATATCTACGTTGATCACATTCAATATTACAACAAAAGGCCAACATTGTTATTTGGAATTTTCCCCAACATTCAGACCTGCCACGGAGACATCATCAGATAATTTGTTTTCTATTGCTGATTATGAAGAGCATATGATGTTGTATGGCTGCAATAGCAGCCACGCAAATTTGGATTTCTGATATTTTAGTAATAAACCTAGAGGGATTACTGCCAGAAGGCCCTGGGTTCCAAGATTGGTATGTGTGCCTCTGGGTTCATGGTAGGTCAGAAGCTGGAGGAGGCATTTGAGGGTGGTAAACCGGAGCATTGTCATGGCAGGGAGCAGGGCCAATTCCACCCCCCATCCCATGAAGCCCCATGTGCCTCGTCAATGCAGTCTCATACCTGGCTGTTGATTAGGCTCTGAAAGATGCAAGCCACCATGCTGCCGCTGCCGCAAAGAGGACAGGCGGAGGGATAGAAACCATTCCCCTCCCAGGACGGCACAGCACCATACTTAAATACACAGTCCAGATATTTTTCGGTTGGGCATTATCTTTTGCTCAGATTTTCCCACCACCACTCAAGCCTGATTTTCAGGGACAAATGCTAGATCATTTACTTTCCATTGATCACTTTGCATATCAGGAAATGCCGCGTGGCTGCAAATGCAGCCGCATGGTTTGGAAAAAAGTCCTGGTACCCGCATGCCAGAGCCATGCTTATAGAAGCTCATGGTCACCAGGATTCCATCTGGGGAAGGTGAGGAGACAGCACCTACCCCATCTGGGACCTCCCAGTGATATCGGCTCTGGCTGGGGCCCGAAGAATTCTCCGGGAGGTGTGGGGCCCTCCAGCTGGTTTTTTTCTTCGCTGCTGTGTGGACACTCATTTTTTAAGAGTGATCCTAAAAGCTGCTTGGAGGCTCCGAGTGTAAATCTGAGTGTTGATGGTTTTCCCTATGGGAATCCCCAAATGCTATTTTCTGACTCTTTTTATTCCCAGCATGGTTCAGTTTTTCATAGTGGAGACCCTTATTTTCTGCAAGAGGGTAGCCGTTGGTTGCCATGTTCTGTATGTGAACAGAAGAGGCCTGGATGTCTCATTTTCCAGTTTAGATTTTTATTCCTCTTTTCCTTAACTGTCTCCCCTCAGGAGCTAACCACTTTTCAAACAGGTTTTCAAAACAATGTCACCTTTCACTAGTGCCCTTGTGCCCCTCCCCTCCTCCCACCACCCTAGGCTCCTTCATTCAGGTATCTCTCCTTTCACTTCCCTGAATTGCTGTCCTTCCCCACCTCCCTTGTTTTCCTGTTCTCTTATATTGTGGTCTAAGGTGAGTATCAAGAAAAAAGAAGAAAAGGAAAGGAAAGGAAAGGAAAGGAAAGGAAAGGAAAGGAAAGGAAAGGAAAGGAAAGGAAAAGAAGAGAAATCATGGTGAAATTTCTGTTACTGGTCTTTCTTTTCTTCCTTGTTAGTTTTGAGAGAAATGGTGAAGGGAAACCAAGTACAACATCTTTGAGCATTTATTAAAAAGACGACAAGTGAGTAGTTTATTCCCAACTATTTGGCAATGCCACATCAGTGGTACAAACTGAGTGTTTCACAACAGGCTAATGGGCAAGGCTGTCATTGTTCCTTTCACATAAAGACTTTTTGTGCATCATGATGGCAACTAAATCTTGATTCTCAACTTTGTTGATTTAGTTGTTTAGTAATTTTATCCAGTGTTGATCTGGCTCTGATGTTTTATTTGGAAAGCATGTCTTTTTCCCAGTAGAAATTTATTGGAAAAGTCAACTGAAAGCAGATAGCTGACAGTTAAGTATAATTAAAATACCAGGCTGCCCAAGCACCAAAAATGCCAGGAGCTCACAGTGCTTTATCCTCAAGCCCCTGCTACCCAAATCTAGCCCAAAGACAATAATCAAAACTGTGAGGTAGCATTTAACACTGGAAAATGTGGGATATTTGAAAGATGATGAGTCTGAATTCAATTCAGGAATTTCCTCCCATTGATTTGTATAACTGCTATTGTCTTTCAAAGTAATTTCTCTTAAGTCTTCCTTCTTCCTCTAAAGCTGCAATACAGATTCACTACATTTCATGTTCAAATGTAGTCAAATGTAATGACAGGGCTTGAAATGTGGCCAGTCCAAACTGAGATAAGTATAAAAAGCATCCAAGATTTTGAAGGCCTCTGTTAAAGTTTCAGTTACAAATTTTATGTTGCTTACATAATTAAAATGATGACATTCTATATTGTGTTAATATACATCATTAAAAATTTCAATTACTTTTTTTCAATTACCAATTTCAATTACCAATTACTTTTTGCTTTTTATAGTGTAGTTACTATATAGCACAGTGGGTAGGGTGTTTGCCTTGCATGAGGCCGACCTGGGTTTGATTCCTCCACCCCTCTCGGTGAGCCCGGCACGTTACCGAGAGTATCTCACCCGCACGGCAGAACCTGGCAAGCTACCTCTGATGCATTCGATATGCCAAAAACAGTAACAACAAGTCTCACAATAGAGACGTTACTGGTGCATGCTCGAGCAAATCGATGAACAGGAGGACAGTGTTACAGTGCTACTATAAATAATACAAGTACTTTTGTGTGTATAGTGGAGCATTTTTTTTCTTGCAGTTTGACTTTTTTTTTTAATTTTTATTAGTGACCATGAGGTATAGTTGTAGACTTACAAATTTTTGTGCTTGGGTTTCAGTTATACAATGATCGAATACCCATCCCTCCACCAGTGCCCATTTAGTGGAGCATTTTTAAAAGCTATCCCTCTTACCTTCTTTCTTTGTTATTTCAGTCTGAACTCTCTTATCCAGTTTCCCCCCTTCTAGTCACTGCTAAAATTTAGAAGGTAATATAGAAAGTCAAATTTCGTGGCCAATTATTTTTAATTTTTGTAAAGTTATTCACAATAATTCATTACATTCAATCACTGTCACTGTCACTGTACTCCCATTGTTCATTGATTTGCTTGAGTGGGCCCAGTAACATCTCCATCGTGAGACTTTGTTGTTACTGTGTTTGGTATATCGAATACGCCATGGGTAACTTGCCAGGCTTTGCCGTGTGGGCGAGATACTCTCAGCAGCTTGCCGGGCTCTCCGAGAGGGGCGGAGGAATCAAACTCCGGTCGGCCATGTTGGCTGCGTGCAAGGCAAACGCCTTACCTGCTGTGCTATCGCTCCAGCCCTACATTCAATATTTCAACACTAATCCCATCACAATTATACCTTTCTACCACCATTATTTCGAATTTTCCCAGTCACCACCCAAGTCTGTCCCCAATAGTAAGCCCTAAATAATTTATTTTGTATTGCTTGTTATAAATCTACCAAAAATGATCAAAAATTTTTCCTTAGAAGAAAGTGAAAATTGTTGTATCCCATCCCATTAAGCTCTTTTTATAAGAGATTACTAACATGTTGTTATAGGTTGAAACTTGTGTTCTAAATATATTTTTAAATTGAGATCTGTTGTCTTCTATTTTACACCCCATCCAATGCGGTGTGCTACTTCTGGTACATCAGAGATAGAGTATGAAACGTCGTGTGGCCACAAATGCAGCCTCACAGTCCAGGAATTCTAAAATTTTGAATGGTATGATACAGCTGGAGTTAATTTTTTTTTTAAATTTTTTTTTCCCTTTATTGTATTTTATTTTTTTTTAAAGTTGTAGATTTACAATTTTTTGTGCCCATCCCTCCACCAGTGCCCATTTTCCACCACCATGGATAATATCCCTCCCACCCCCATCCCCCCATCCCCCCTGTCTCTGTGGCAGGGCAATCCCCTGTGTTCTCTCTCTCCTTTTGGGTGTTGTGGTAAAAATATGGAACGCTTCACGAATTTGCGTGTCATCCTTGCGCAGGGGCCATGCTAATCTCTGTATCGTTCCAATTTTAGTATATGTGCTGCCGAAGCGAGCACTGGAGTTAAATTTTTAACTGTATGGTGACTTCAGGGTCCAGAGGCATCTCTACAACTTGATGATCTCTTCTGACATTTATTTGTGAGTCTCTAGATCATGAAGTGGCCAATATTTTTTAACAGAATTAAGTATACAGGTAGAAGATGAAAGTCTTTGTTCAAATTTTCTACTTACTGGATTATCACAATAACATTTTTAAAGGAATGGATGAAGAGAATTAAGTACACAGGTAGAAGATGAAAGTTTTTGTTAAAATTTTCTACTTATTGGATTATTGCAACAATATTTTTTAAAGGAATGGATGAAGAATAGCCATTGTTGGTGTATGTCTATAGAGGGGACTATGTATAGGAAGATTAAAGATAGAAACAAGAATTATTCTGGGCTGGAGTGATAATACAGTGGGTAGGGTGCTTGCTTTACACATGACTGGTCAACCTGGGTTTAGCATCACATTTGGTTTACTGAGGTCCCGCCAGCAATGATTCCTGGATGAAGAACCAGGAATAAGCCCTGAAAGTGAAAGAAGTGTCCGCCTTAAAAAAACCATCAACAATCATTCTGGGAACAACACACACACACACAGAAAATAGAACAAAGAAGGAATTGCATCTCCAATCTTTCTCTAGGTTTTCAACCTACTTTTTCTTTTGGCTACTCGAACTACCTCTTTTTCATAAGGACCAATCTAGATCATTCCCTTGATGTAATATGGCTACTGAGAAGATGAAGAACAAAATGCTGGAAGATGAGGAGGGATGCAGCCAATACAGGAAAAATAAGCTACATGGAAATATGTTTATCTAAGTTGAAAGAGGCCTTAGTGCTCAGACATTTTTTAATCTTCCACTCAAATCCACTACCTTTTGTGTATGGAATAAAAATAATGGAATGAATTATGGAAAAAATAATGGAATAAAAACTGCTGCTTATGATGGAATATCAATATTCATATCAACATTTATAGAAAAATTGGAGTTTCTGAAAAACATCCTTCGCAACAGGGATAAAGAAGAAAAAATATGACGTCATTGTTTATCAACCTAAAGAAGTCCGAATCCCTCTTCCAAAGTAACAAATTGTTGCAAACCACTGTGGTTTCAGTTCTCAGAAAGCATACATGACCAGACTTGTCAGCAACAAGCCACTTTCTGCCATGGCAGGTAAGAAATTCTTTGTATTAACGCCAAGGTAAATATTCCATTTAATATTATTTTTCTTGGTATTGAGAACATAAAACTGAACATTAAATACTTAAATATTAACTATAAGAAGATACAGGCAACATTCACCAACAAAGTTTTGTTTATTTATAGGCCACAGCCTGTGGTGCTCAGGATTTACTCCTGGCTCAGTGTTCAGGGATCACTCCTGGTGGGGCTCGGGGGAGCTGGGGATGAAACCTAGATCAGCTGTGTGCAGAGGCGCGCACCATACCTCTCTGTAATCTCTCTCCAATTCCAGCTCCAGTGAAATTTGCAGGTGATAAACATCTCACACTGATTTTGCTTCAGGATATTCAGTATTACTTTTCATTAGTCCTAGGCACTGATTTGACAAAGAATTAGATGGTTTGGCTAAAAATCGATCAATGTTTTATTTTAATAAGGCTTTTTCTTTAAGCATTATCTGGCATTGTATTTGTCAGAGAAAATTGTTTCATTAAAAAAAAAAGAAGCATGATTCCTAATTATCCTTGATTGTTGGGGACAAGACCTGTGATTTAAAGAGCACTAATGAAAAGTTTTTGAGGTGCTAGAGGAATGAATGCCTCAGAGAGCTGGAGGGGAGCCTTGCAAGGACAAGTCCCTTGATGGACAAGTTCCATCCTGAGACCCTCTGGTCCTCTGAGAACCATGGGTTAGTGGGGGACCTGGTGCACCCCAGCCTCTACTGCAGAGCAACACTACGTCCTGGCCCCTAGATTTGAACCTGTGTTTACAGTTCATTGCAAAGTGGCCCCCAGGCCCCCTGTGCACGGATTGGGAACCCTCCCCGTAAGATCCCCCACAAAAAGAGGTGCTGGGATGAAATGGACGGTATATTAGGCTTCTATATGGCAAATATAGTAAGCATCTGAATTATTAAAACAAATAATCTTAAACCTTAGACTTTCATGCCCCCGAGAAAGTGTAAATTTCAAACCCCTGACTCGTGCCAAAGGAGGGCATTTTCTAGAATAAGCTCAACTGACTGAAGTAGTAAATTTTCACCAGGGTGGGGCTGGAGCAATAGCACAGCGGGTAGGGCATTTGCCTTGCAAGCGTCAGACCCAGGTTCCATTCCCAGCATCCCATATGGTCCCCTGAGCACCTCCAGGAGTAATTCCTGAATCCCTGCATGAACCAGGAGTAACTCCTGTGCATCGCCGAGTGTGACCCAAAAAGAAAATAAATAAATAAATAAATAAATATTCACCAGGGCAGATGAGATTCTGTCAACTACAAAAACTTTCTAGAACGTGGTGTTTTTTCTTACTTGCAGTGTAATTTCCACACTGTAACGTCCACCTTTGTGGTTCCGCTCCATCTACTACGGATGCAAAGTCTTTGTTGCTGGACTTCGAATCTCTGGGGTCCCGGAGCGCCCACCCAATAGAAATGGGGGAGCCCCCAGGAACCTCTTGTTTCTTTCCCTCACTTCTCCAGGGCGCTTCTCCTCAGACACCGCACAACGGCGCTGAGGAATAAGGGACCGAGCGGCACGTAGGGCGAGGGACGCGGTGAAGCTCGCGGGGAACGCGTTGCCCACGAGCGCGCTGCGCCCGGCGACGGCTACCGGTCGGGAGCCTGCTCTGCGCCTGCGCGGCCGCGCGCACAAGCCTCATTGGCCCCCGCCGGCCCACGTGACGGCCACGCCCAAACGGCCGCGGCTCAGTTCGTTGCCCGGTTCCCCTCAGTCTCAGCGCGTTCCCCGCGCTGCTGTCCCGCGCAGGTCCCGCATAAGCTCGGGAGTCCGAAAAACAAAAAACAAACTAAAAAAAAACAATCAAAATCAAAAAGCCTCGAGTTCCGAGGAGAACTCTTACGAAGGAAGCCGATCATCTCTGCAAGGATCCCTTCTCCCCCAGTGACGTTTGTCCTGGGCTGCAGCACCGTGAAATTGGAAATCACAGGCCGTTAGTGGCCTGAAGGTGACTGGCTGAAACCAAAAACCTCTGTGACTCAGGGGAGAGTTACACACAAAAACTTAATTGGGGGGGGGGGAGGGCGGAGCGAAAAGGAAACTCCCCATAACGTTGGTGTGAGAAACGGTCACACCATTTTTTTTTTTTTACTGTTGTTGTTGTTGTTGGTTTTATTATTATTTTTTTCCTTAGAAAAGTTGAAGGGGTGGGTCTCGGTCCCTGTGGTGTGAGAGGAATGAGAAACTCAGAGAAACGGGACAGAAAACCAGAAGTGCTGAGTGAAAAGCCCACCGCAGCGCTCCTCTCCTTTGAACCCGCCCCAAATTATTGACCAGGGAGGCCACAGGAAACAAAGGCTCCCCGAGTGCTTTGGGTGGGAGCAGCACGTACAGGAAGTGACGGACAGGGCCTGTGGCATACTCTGTCCCTCCAAATAGTGCTCATTTTCAGTTTCTCTCATTTTCAGGTTCTAAGAGTCAACCCTAAGACCCGGGATGTGCTCAGGAGGGTGTTGCGATGCGCACAACCTCAAAAGCCTGAGGCGATCGCTACCCCCTTAGAAACTGTGTTCCACTCCTCTACTTTCCTCTTTAAAAGTTTTTCCATACGCTCCCGCCAAATTTACGAACTACGATATTCCAGTCACTGAGCTGGGTTCTAGGGTGACAATGGTGTATAAAAATAAGAACGGCCTCTCTCCTCCTGGAGGGTTTGAGGGGCTACAGGAGGCAAGTACTGGTCAATCACACACACACACACACACACGCACATGCACACACACACACACCCCAATATTAGGTATAATGTGGTAAGTGGTAAAAGAGGCCCAAAGGTTATCATGGGGGTTTTGATTAAGCAAAGAGGCTTCCTTCCATTGAGATGAAATCTGGACTGAGACCTGAAGAGGCTAAGGGGAGGTGGGAGTTCAGGAAAAGAGAGCAGCTTGTATAAGGGAGAGCAAGTCACTTCTTCCCTTTCAATCACTGCATACCCACCCATTTCAAATCACTATATATGTGTTCGACTTGCCTCTTAGTGGAAGACACTTAGTGGAAGATACTTCTTTTTTTCAGTCAGTTTCAAGTTCTCAGGGAGTACTTCACTGAACCTATAAATAATTATTATAACAATATGTATCCCAAAAGTAAGTATGTTAATATATGCTTTTAATGTGTATTATTGTGTTTTACAAATAGGCAATGATTAGAAAAATATGTAGAATGTAGGACAAAAATTGTAGTAGTAGAACTAAAAGTGCTATGTAGATATATATTCCAAGTGGTGAGAGATCAAAATGTCTTGGAAGATTTGTATAAGGTTTCTTTGAGACTGTAATGTTTGAGATATGCTTCTAAGGTAAGATTTGGTCATAGGGAGAATACAGTTCAGTTACAGTAGGTGGTTCAAGAAGAGTCAGGAGATGGTGCAGATAACGTTCTAAGGACCTTGGAAATCAATCCAGTGAGTTTGTAGAAACAAAAATGGAAATATTTTATTTAAGTTTTAAGACTTTCTAAAGATATTTTTAAGTTTACCTTGGGAAATTTAAAATATACCCAAAGGTTGCAATAATAAGACTATAACTACTCATATACCCTTCACATGAATTTGCCTCATGGGCGCACTCGCATACACATGCACATATGCTGCTAGGGATCAAATCCAGTGGCCAGAACCTTACACAACCACTGAGCCACATCCCCTTTTTGCTTGTGTGCATGTGTGGTCACATTTGCTTTCTCTTTCTCAGCAATTCCCCCTTGCCCCACTGATATACAAGCATGTTTTTCTCTTCCTTCCCTCTCCCCTGTCACTATTTAAACTTGTGGTTTACAAAGTTGTTCATGATGATTTGTCACAGTCCTTTAATATTCTAACACAAATCCCACCACCTCTATCACATTGTCTCCATTTTCCAACCAGCCCTCCAGTCTGCCCCTATAGCAAGCCAACAGTAATTTATTTGTATATAGCATCTTACCATTAAAGAGATAACAAATGATCAAAAAATTATTTCTGTAGAAAAAAAATTGCAAAAATTGTTTCATCTCACCATGAGGACATTAAGTCCTTGTTTGAGATTTTTCCTAAGCTGTTGTTCCAAGTTAAGCCTTCTGTATTAATGTTTTTGTTAGTTGACATTTGGTTGGCTTCTGCGTCACATCCCATCCAACCTGGTGTACTACTATTGGGATGTCAGTGTTACAGAATTTGGACATATTGCACGGCTGTAAATATGACTGTGTGCTCCAGAAAACACAAGCGTGTTCTACTTTGATATGAAATTGAAGACATACTAGCTTCATCTCTAAATAATTTACCATTTTGCCTCCCAAGAACAAAGGTTTTTCTACATAATCACAATACAGTTATAATAGTACTGTGATAGTTTTAAAATTGAATTTTAAATAAGAATTTATTCAATGATTGTTAATAATAATAGATGTTGTTAATTTTAAGTAGCTTGACCCTTAAAATTTAACTGACATATTAAAAGTGTTGAATAAGTTTTAAACATGTTTTAAAATATTTATTGTTAGAAAACTACAGGATATGAAAAAGTATATTGTGAAAATCTTTCCCGTATTTTCTTACTGAATTTGCTCAGTTTCTACTCTTGTCACTTAAAATCATAGGTTACCCTCATATTTAGATTATTGGGTAGCTTTCTCATTTATTTATTTATTTAATGCAAATACAACTAATTGTAAATATATTTTCTATTCCCTTTATTCTTATTTCAAGGGGGTTATTAAGTACTATTCTTGTTTTCTCACTTATCTATACAATTTGGGTATCTTTTTGCATTAATACACAGAGAACCTCCTCATTCCTTTTTATAGTGTCATTATATGCCATTTTATGGGTAAATTCTAATATAAGTTTGGGTTTTTCCCATGACTTAACATTGAAATCAATGGCACAACAAATTTGCTACAGCAGTTGTAAGAATATCTCTAGACTTATGAGTGTAAATATGTGATTGTGTATTATTGTTGTTTTATAATTTTAAATGAAAACTCTTCAAGGTAAACTTAAAAGATGTCTGTTTTTAATAACTTATAACAGTAGAGAGCATTTCTACCCAATTATAACATACTTTTCTAGCCCACTGTCTTCCAACTGTATATTTATCATTATAATGAATAATATCTGTTGAACACCATGTATTTATAATGTACTGAGCTAGGTCAGATTTCTGGAATTGATATATGTCCAGAGGATTCACTATCTGATTGACCAGACATGCACAAAATATTATATTAGGCTCCATAATGCAAAACATACCTCTCAGTTCTTTCTTGCATCTCTCTCCAGGTCTATCTTTCTCTGCCCCTTTCCCTAAATAACCCCAAGGCTTGATGGCTTTTTTCCTTTATTCTAAGATCTGTTACTAGAGAATAGACTCAAGAAGGCTACAAATATTAGGAGGAATTTGGGTGAGTTTCTGCTCATTCTTTCCTGTACCTTAAGGAAAATAAGGGAGGACTCCTGAGTTCCTACACTGCACAAGCAACTGCCCTGTCAAAAACCACATGGTAAATATCAGGCCATATCCGTGTCTACTTGATGTGCTCAGTCTAGGAATTAACACTGCCACCCCGATTCTCAGGGGAACTATAGAATTTAGACAGGGACAGTATTTAGCTCCAGCCCCCTAAGTAATGCATATTTACTTCTCTATCTCTTGGTTTTCAAATTGGTGCCCTTCTTGATTTCAATTTTCTTCTACTAATTGGTTATTGCAGGTTATTTTAATTTCCTCTTTATTCAGTCTTGGGAAGTCTATATGAGTCTAAAGGATTCTTCAATTTAGTGGCATAAGTTAACCTTTTTTTTCTTTTTGGGTCACACCCAGCGATGCTCAGGTGTTATTCCTGGTTCTGCACTCAGGAATTACTCCTGGCGGTGCTTGGGGGACCATATGTGATGCCAGGGATTGAACCCGGTAGACCACCGTGCAAGGCAAACGCCCTACCTGCTGTACTATAACTCCGGACCCCAAATCTTATAATCTTCTGTATTTCTGTAGTATCTGTTCTACTTTCTCCCTTTTATTTCTCATCTTATTTCTTTCTGTTTTATTTAAAGAGTTTTCTCTCTTTTTCTTTAAAGTTTAGGCAAAAGGTCAGTCAATCTTGTTTAATCTTTCAAAGAACTAACTCTTGATTTTATTGAGTTTTGTATTTTTATTTTATTCATCTATACCCTAATTTTATTATTTCCTTCCTTCTAGTTACTTTGACCTTTATTTTTTTTCTTTTTCTGGTTCTTTAAGATGTGAGGTTCAGTTTGAGCCTTTTCTTGTTTCCTGATGTAAGCAGGAACTCCATCTTTTACTGTGTCCTGTATGTTTTGAAAGTTCATGCATTCATTCACATTTGTTTTCAGAAATTCTTTTATTTCTTCTTTGAGTTTCTCCTTGAGCCAGCAGTTGTTTAATACTATGTTGTTTAATCTCCCAGTGCTTGAGATTTGGGAGTCACTCCTGACATGGTGCTTGAGGGGCTGAATGCACTCCAATCCCTTGAACTATTTCCCACACCCCTCTGTCCTTTTATAATGATTTTCTCAATTGTATCCTCAAGTTCACTGATTCACTCTTTAGCTCTTGTCTTTCTGCTGTTGGTCCCTTCAGTTTTATTATAATTTTAATTTTAACTACGATATACTTTAGCTCACTGGTTTCTGTTTAAATTTTTCCCACATTGAACATAAAGTAACAAAATGGGAGACTAACACCCAGGAGTGGCCGAGATTAGTACCAGGAATTTTGCTCCATGACTTGGAGGCCAGCCACACGTGCTAGGGGAAAAGGAAGCTCAGATAGAGAAGGGAACACCAAATAAAGGGTGTTGGGAGGATCCTCCCAGGATGGGAGAAGCATGCTGAAAGTAGACTATAGACCAAACAGGATTGCCACTCAATGTCTCTCTTGCAAACTACAGGACCCAAAAGGAGAGAGAGAGAACAAAAGGTAATGCCCTGCCACAGAGGCAGGGTGGGATGGGGGGGTTGGGGGGTGGGAGGGATACTGGGACCCGTGGTGGTGGAGGATGGGCCCTGGTGGAGGGATGAGTACTTGGTCATTGTATAACTGAAACCCAAGCACAAAAATTTGTAAGTCTATAGCTGTACCTCATGGTGTTTCACTAATAAAAAAATAAATAAATAAAAACTACATTGTATTTAGGGGGGAAATAAGAAAGACATTAAAATATTTTTTTAAATGAAAAAAATGTTTTTCCACATCTTCTCTTATTAAAATTTTCTTCCACTGGTTTTCTTATTTTGCTGTATATTGTAAGGATTGCTGCTTTGAAATCTTTATCAGGGAGTTGACAAAGCTCCAGTGAGCCTGAGGATGGCAATCTTGTCTTCAACCACCAGTGCAAGTGAAGTCCTCCTTTTTTTCACTCTGGCTCTTGTTTTGTAGGGATCTTTGTAATGGCAGCTTGGTGCTCCGTGGTGGGCTTTCTTTGTTGATGAGGACATCCTCTCTTTCTTTGCCTCTTTGACAATTCTTCTGTCCCTACTCATCGGAGTCTTAGTTTTGCTTACATTAATCCACATCAGTGTGGAGCTCCAGGTCTTGAGATTGTTCCTGTTGGCTGCAACTGAGGCCCCTAGACTCAGCGGGCCCTAGAAATTTCCCCGTTATATCCTTGATCTTCATATTGGAGCTTCCTTCCTGAAGATTCTCTCTCTCTCTCTCTCTCTCTCTCTCTCCTCTCTCCTCTCTCTTCTTTTTCCTCTATCTCCTCTCCTTTCTCTCTCATACACACTTACATAAAAACCATAAATATTAACAATACTGTAAGTAATTTATCTAAACTACAAACAAATGAAAAAAAACTTCACAGTCTCCCAAGCCAGAAAAATTTCCCCATCCATATAATCTGTTACCAAGCTCGATTCAGATATTATCTTCTTTGGTACATATTCCCTGACTCTTTAATGCAGACCTTGGTCTAACTTGAACATGTTGGATTGAGCTTTATGCCTCTCTCCCACTAGAATATTTAAGGAAAAAGGTTTAGGGGATCTTGTTCAAGAACTATGGACACAAACACTAAATAGAAAAATCTGTTTTAAAAGTCACTACTAACCACATATAAGTTATTGAGCACTTAAATATGGCAAGTGCAGTTAATAAAAGGAATTTTAAATTTATTTTATTTTAAGGGAAAAATTGATCCTTTGATTGTTGTGAAAAATTAAGTATGTTTTTAATAATTTGGATATATGAATAAACTTTTAAACTATAAACTTCATGAAATCTAACTACAGATCAAGGTTTTCCAGTGAAAAGTTAGCACCTGAATTGAGATATTCTGTAAGTATAAAATAAACACTGGAGCTCAAAGACTTGAATATAATAAAAATATTGTAAAGCATATAATTATTTTATATTAATATTTTATATTACATATATGTTGTAATTTAATATTTAAATATATTAACTGAAATAAAATATATTACCCTAATTAGTTTTACCTAATTAGTTTTACCTAATTTCACCACTGGAAAAATTTAAATAAGTAATTAAAATTATATTTCCATTATACATAGTTAATACATTCCACTAAAAGGCTTTGCTTTTTTGTAATATTTTATGATGATGTGATTTCAGCCTCTTACTGACTAAGATCGTTTTTAATGACTAGTGGTGAGCATTTATGGTAGTTAATGAGATTATCTCTTTTAAATTGTTTCCATTCAAATCAGATCACAATCTACTTTCTCAGTCCAAGGATAATAGCGTTGGCCAGAACCATAACCAAGAAGAAATAATCCCCAAGTTGGCCATGCAGCTAAGAAATATTGGGGACACCATCAATCGTAGGATGGTTCATGAGGTAAGTGACTCTCAATTTTTCCTGGAAAGGGCCTATTAGGTAGGAGAAACCAAAGAGAACAGTGACTGGGAACTAGAAGAATACATGGATTAGTAGTTTCCAGCCCACCCACCATTAGGTTTTAAAATAATGGGGCTGGGAATGTGCTAGAGCATAAACCTATCGTACATGAAGCCTCAGTTCTACGCCGGCACTACAAAAAAAAATAAATTAGAAAGAAACAAATACTGTATTAACCCACTAATCTTCCCTCCCTCCTCCCCCTTTTTATAACCAAAATAAAAAATAAATTAAAAGTGTGAACCTGAATCAGAGACAGTATTTGGTTTCACACTTGCTATTCAAACTATGGTCCATAGAGTAACAACTTCAATATCACTTGGCAGCAAATCAAATATGTCAAATTTCAGTTCCCATTCCACAATAGTGGAATCAGAGCCTACCTTTTTACACACACCCCAAGGAATTTGTGTGCACATTAAAATATGAAAAACGGGGGTATGGTGCCAACAGCAGATCAATCTTTACCTGTGAGGCGAGTGCATCAGCAGCCTGATGGCACCTTCAGACTTCCAGATACCCCAAAATTGCTGCTGTGCCTTTGGCCAGACCCCAAAAACTTGGGGCAAAGTTTACCAAGAAAGTAAACGGCCAAAAGTTAGGTATGTGGGAGACACACCCACAAACCACCTCTGGCACAGCTATATAATTGGAGGCATGGTCTCCCAGAACGACCACCAACTGGGAGCTCTTTGGCACTATTGCGGCAACATGAGAAGTTGCTATTGTTGACAACATTGATAAGGAATACGATCGACTGGTTCAGCACCTCCATGATTGTGCAAGGAATGCCAAGAGAGAGATAGCCACAAAAAAACACCTGTCTTCAAAAACTCTTGAGCTTATTCGCCAGCGTGGTTTGGTGCATGCCTCAGGCAACCGCAAGCTAACGTCCGAGCTCGCAAAGCAGTGCAGAGATGCGATCAAGGAAGACCTCAAAGAGAGAAGAGCAGAAGTGCTGGTAGATGCGGCAGAAGCCGGGAAAAGTATTCGTAACGCCCGCCTGTCCTTCGCCAACTACAAGACCAAGATGACTGCCCTCCGACGTCCTGATGGATCTATCACATCTTCCAGAACGGCAATGGAGAAGATTATCCATGACTTCTACTCAGATCTCTTCGATAGCCATGTCCACCTGCTGACATACCAAATTCCACAGGATGGATATGTCATTCTCAATGTTCTCCCTTCCGAAATCCAACACGCCATTTCGTCAGTAAAGAAACGAACAGCACCCGGCCCAGACAAGGTCAGACCTGAACACCTGAAGAACTTGCCATCAGTACTCATCAATACGCTGGCTCGGCTCTTCACACGCTACCTGTCTGAATGCAAGGTTCTGTCCCAGTGGAAAACCAGCCAGACTGTACTACTGTACAAGAAGGGAGACATCCATGACATTGGCAATTATCGCCTGATCTGCCTATTGTCTGTCATCTAGAAGTTTTTCACTTGAGTCATCCTGAATAGGATTGGCAGAATACTAGATGAAGGACAACCATGCGAGCAAACCGGGTTCCGCAAAGGATTCAGCACCATCGACCATATCCACACGATAACCAAGCTCATTGAGGTTTCTCGGGAGTTCAAGATGCCGCTCTGACTAATGTTCATTGATTTAAAGAAGGCCTTTGATTCTGTTGAGACGGAAGCGGTCATTGAAGCCCTAGCCAATCAGGGCATTCAAGCTCAATACATCCAGATCCTCCGTGAGCTGTATTATGGATTCACTACCAGGATCTCACCATTCTACAAAGAAGTAATCATTGATGTCAAGAGAGGGGTTCGGCAGGGTGATACCATTTCACTGAAACTCTTCAGTGCCACCCTCGAGAACATCATGCGACGACTGGAATGGGAAGGAATGGGAGTGAAGATAGATGGTCGGCAACTACACCACCTCTACTTTGCTGATGACATTGTTTTAATAACACCAAACATTAGCCAAGCGGCACAAATGCTGGCCGACTTTGACCGTGAGTGTAGAAAGGTCGGACTACAGCTGAATCTTACGAAGAACAATGTTTATGAGAAACAGCCTCGTTCCTGACGCCCCATTTGCTCTCAATGGAACGACCATCTCTGAATGCAACAGCTATGTATACCTAGGTAGAGAAGTCAACATGACAAATGACCTGGCACCCAAGCTGTGCAGGAGGAAGAGAGCAGCTTGGAACGCCTTCAAGAGCGTCGAAGAAATAGCTAAGAGGATGAGGAACCTCTGGCTCCGGGCACATCTCTTTGATTCCACTGTTCTTTCTGCATTAACATATGCCTCAGAGACCTGGACCCTACGCAAACAGGATGAGAACGCTATTCGGGTCTCCCAAAGAGAAATTGAAAGAGCTATGCTTGGAATATCATGTTTCACTCAAATGAGAAAAAGAATTCAGAGTTCCGACCTCCATCGACGATCAAGAATCAGGGACGCTGTCTCGTTTGCCAAGGTGTCAAAAATCAGATGGGCTGGTCATGTAATGAGATTTAAAGACGACCGCTGGACTAGAGCTGTTACTGACTAGATTCCACAGGATGTCAAAAGACCACGTGGCTGCCCACCTACCAGATGGTCAAACTTCTTCATCAAGATCATGAACAATCGGTTTGAGGCTCTTCATATTCCTAGATGGGCTGGAGCGATAGCACAGCGGGTAGGGCGTTCGCCTTACAAGCGGCCAACATGGCCGACCCGAGTTCGATTCCTCCACCCCTCTCGGAGAGCCTGGCAAGCTACCGAGAGTATTCGATATGCCAAACACAGTAACAACAAAGTCTCTAATGGAGATGTTACTGGGCCCGCTCGAGCAAATCGGCGATCAATGGGAGGGCCTTTACCTTTACCCTTTTATCATATTCCTAGAGCAAACAGACGCCATTGGGCTACACTAGCACGCGGCAGGGACAAATGGAGACGTTACTGGTGCCTGCTCGAGCAAATCGACGATTAACGGGAAGTCAAGTGATTAAGTGATCAAGTGATGGCCTCTCTGGCTCCTGATCGAACTGCTTGATGGCCATGGTCCCAGGGACTCAGAAACAAATCTCTAAACCCAATGGCTTTTGGCAGAAATGTATCCGGTCTCTGCAGTAGGTTACTGGCGCTGGGCCAACCGAGGTGGGAATAGGTAACTTGGCCTGTTCCCCCTGGCAGCCCAGTGGCCACCATCCTCCAGAGGCCACTGGACAGTCAGGTTTGGGCCCACAGTGACGAGACACACGAAACCTCATAAGATGGAGGTGGAGCAGGCCCTTTCCTACCCACCCCAACGAGACCTCGAGTCACTGCCCATGAATGACCTCTCTGGCTCCTGATCAAGCTATTTAACAGCCATGATCCCAGAAACTCAGAAACAAATCTCGTAACCTCGTGGCTTTTGGCAGAAATGTGTCTGGACCCGCATTAGGTTACTGTGGCTGGGCCACCCCAGGGGGGAAAGGGTGCTATCCCTTTGCCTGCTCCCCCTAGGTGGCTCGTTGGCTGCCATCCTCCAGAGGCATTGGACAGTCAGGTTTGGGCCCACAGTGACAAGACACATGGGGTGTCATGGGATGGGGGTGGAGCCAGCCCTTTCCTCCCTGTCCCAACGAGACCCTGAGTCATCGCCCATGAATGGCCTTTCTGGCTCCTGATCAAGCTGCTTAATGGCCATGATCCCAGAGACTCAGGAACAAATCTCGGAACCCAGCAGGTTTTGGCAGAAATCCCTCTAGATTTAAGTGTTAAAATTTCGGAATTTCAAAATCGCACAGCCACTACTGCAGCCACGTGACATCATATGTTATTCTTAACCAGCAATAGAAAACAAATTGTCTACTGTTGCCTTTTCAGCAGATCTGAGTGTTGGGGTAAAATCCCAAATAATAATGGTGGGTCTGGTGTCAAAATACTGAATGTGATCAAAGTAGAGAGAGAGTAATGTGGAAATCATCTGCCCCACAGGTAGGGGGAGGGTGTGGAATGGGGGTATACTGGGGTTTTTAGTGGTGGAGAATGGGCACTGGTGAAGGTACGGATGTTTTATTGTATGACCGAGATTTAAACCTGAAAGCTTTGTAACTGCTCTCACGGTGGTTCAATAAATAAAATTATGAAAAATGAAAAAAAAGTAAGGTGGAATTCACGCCAAATTCAATCAGCTAATCAGTGGCTGAATAAATAGCAGTAGTCCTACATAAGAAAATTCATCGATTTGCTCGAGTGGGCCCAGTAACATCTCCATCATGAGACTTTGTTGTTACTGTGTTTGGCATATCGAATACATCATGGGTAGCTTGCCAGGCTTTGCCGTGCGGGTGAGATACTCTCAATAGCTTGCCAGGCTCTCCAAGAGGGGCAGAGGAATCGAACTCGGGTCAGCCATGTTGGCTGCGTGCAAGGCAAACGCCCTTCCCGCTGTGCTATCGCTCCAGAATAAGAAAATTTTAAAAAAATAAAATATGAACAACTCTGCTCCACTCCCCTCAAACTAGGATGTATTGGAGCTACAGAAACACCAGGAGAGATTCTGATTTAATTTAAATGAGGTGTGGTCTTGCTATTCAAACTATGGTCCATAGCAAGAAATGTGTCCGGTCTGTATATTATTATATATATAATAAATATATATTATATATAATTAGTTTTACCTAATTTACATATAAATTACATAAATTTTTATATAAAATATATACTGGACTATATATATAACTAATTAGGGTAATATATATATATAATATAGCCAGGTAAATACCCAATTTTGGGGTATCTGGAAGTCTGAAGGTGCCATCAGGCTGCCTCACAGGTACAGATTGATCTGCTGTTGGCACCATAACCCCCGTTTTTCATATTTTAATGTGCACACAAATTCTCTGGGGTGTGTGTAAAAAAGTAAGCTCTGATTCCACTGTTGTGGAATGGGAACTGAAATTTGACATATTTGATTTGCTGCCAAGTGATATTGAAGCTGTTACTCTATGGACCATATAGCAAGAGACCTGGGCCCTACGAAAACAGGATGAGAACGCTATTCGGGTCTCTCAAAGAGGAATTGAAAGAGCTATGCTTGGAGTATCATGCTTCACTCAAATGAGAGATAGAATCCAGAGTTCTGATCTCCGTCAACGCTCAAGAATCAGGGATGCTGTCTCATTTGCCAAGGCATCAAAAATCAGATGGACTGGACACGTAATGAGGTTTACAGACAACCGCTGGACTAGAGCCATTACTGACTGGATTCCACGGGACGTCAAAAGATTGCATGGACACCCACCTACAAGATGGTCAGACTTCTTCTTCAAGACCCTGAATGATCGGTTTGAGGCTCTGTATGTTCCTAGAATGAACAGATGCCATTGGGCTATGCTAACACGCAACAGGAATGAATGGAGACGTTACTGGCACCCGCTCGAGTAAATCGATGAATAACGGGGTATCAAGTGATGAAGTGATTAAGTGGTCTGATGAAGCATTTGAAAATATTGCCAGGTAAATCTAACCCTTGTTCAGAAAAACTTTGCCTGAGATAGTTTATCATCCTTGAACCACTTCAAAGATTATGATGTAAGCCAGGAGTTCTTACACTTTTTTTTTCCTATTCATGACCCCTTTTCACACAAGAAATGCAGTTTGGGCATCACTACCAGAAATGCCTGATTCATTACTCAGTTTATTTCGATTTAGTTTTGTTTATTGTTAAGAAACCTTTTACTGCTGCCAAAGTTTTCACAACCCCTTAGGTTTAGTTTTGTGACCCCATGTGGGATCTTGAACCCACAATTTTAGAAAAGAGTGTCTAGGCTATATTCCCACCATTTTTTCTTGATTTCTCCTAGTCATTATAAGAGATAATGAGGTAAAACAAAAAATTATTACTGTTTGAAAAATTCACTGTCACTGTCCTCCCATTGTTCCTCGATTTTGCTCTAACGGGCTCAGTAACATCTCCATTGTGATACTTGTTACTGTATTTGGCATATATAGGTAATAAAATCTACAGCCAAGTTGGTTTTCTTCTAGAACAACCTATAGTTACCAGAGGAGACACTAGCCACCTGAGACAGGGCAGGGGGCTGTTCCTCAGAGTCCAATTTCTTATCCTTAATTACATTCACCTTTCCTGTGATGATCTGTTTTAATTGTTGCTGCTAACACTATTTTCAGGGAATTCCATGTTCTCTATGGTGTTCCGATACAAATCCGACACATTTGTATCGGATATTCATTTGATATTCAAACAAATATTCATTTAGTGCCTATTATATTCCAAACTCACTTTGAGGCACAGATGGATAAAGAAGAAAGCAGGATAGAAGATGGGTCTGCTCTAATAGAACTCTTCATGTAAAGGGGGGCAGACAATAAAGCAGAGGAATCCATAAATACTCTAGTCCAGAGATTACCGTACTCTGTCCCTTTGGCCTACTGATCCATTTCAAATAAAAAATATGCTCAGTGCTCTCCTGAAAATCTGCCTTTTCCAGTTAACAGAGAGTGTCCCTAAGTGTATACAAGGTGTCTACTGCTGTCCCCAGGTAGATGTCAAAGACTGAGGCTGGAGCACGTGTAGTATGTTTATAAGGAAAAGATAAGAAGTCAGTTTTGCTGAACCTGAGTGAAAGAGAAAGACTTGAATCAAGAAAGACTCTACATCTGTACCTCATGGTGTTTCATTAATAAAAATTAAAAAAAAAAAGACTTGATCAAAGTACTGGGTCGGGGGTCGGGGGCAGAGTAGGTAGGCCTTCATATCACTACTTCCTTGAGTAAGCCCCTGAGGGGCCACTGAGCAAAAGAGCTGCATTTCAACTGTCTCGAAGGCTGCTGCATTGAGAATAACCAAGAGGAGGAACGAGGTGGTGGAGAGCCACCTATATCTCCCTTCTCTTCCTTCTCCTGGTGGTCCCATATAAACTGTGGTGTTTACTTACCACTCTGCCGACCTGCTGGGTTCTCGCTCCTCTCCATGTTTACTCAGATTCACTCTCCTCTTGACTCGGCTCTTCTACGTGTTCTTCCAACAACAAAGTCAGTTTCCTTGCAGTGAAAAGTGATATGGGAAACCAGAGGAAGAGGCATTAGCCCTTAAAAAGAGCCTCCCAAAAAAGTATAGTCGAAGTGACATCTGCACTTGTTTGTTCATTGCAGCACTGTTTACAATAAGCCAGAATCTGAAAAAAACCTGAGTGCCCGAGAGCAGATGACTGGTTAAAGAAACTTTGGTACATCTACACAATGGAGTACTATCTAGCTGTTAGAAAAGATGAAGTCATGAAATTTATATAGAAGTGGTACTACCTGGAAAGTATTGTGCTAAGCGAAATGAGTCAGAAAGAGAGGGACAGACATAGAAAGATTGCATTCATCTGGGGAACATCAAGTAACAAAATAGGAGACTAACACCCAAGAATAGCTGAGATAAGCACCAGGAGGTTCACTCCATGGCTTGGAGGCCAGCCGCACATGCTAAGGGAAAAGGCAGCTCAGATAGAGAAGGGAGCACCAAATAAAGGGTGTGGGGAGGATCCTCCCAGGATGGGAGATGCATGCTGAAAGTACACTATAGACCGAACATGATTGCCACTCAATGCCTGTTTTGCAAACCACAGCACCAAAAGGAGAGAGAGAACAAAGGGGAATGCCCTATCACAGAGGCAGGATGGGATGGGGGGAGGGGGATGGGGGATGAGAGGGATACTGGGATCAGTGGTGGTGGAAAATGGGCACTGGTGGAGGGATGGGTACTCAATCATTGTATAACTGAAACCCAAGCACAAAAATTTGTTAGTCTACAATTGTACCTTATGGTGTTTCACTAATAAAAATTTAAAAGAAAAAAAAGAGCCTCCATTTGCTGATGGTGTAGAGCACCTTTATTTAGGTTTGGTTGTTGTAATTTGGAAGTCATGTTTGTAGTATTGTTTGTGATTTAATTTAGATATATACATATGTCACACCTCCACATCACCAATGTGCCTAAGGATCCAGACTCCTACCCCTGTTACCTCCTGTCCATGTTTTTATCTCTACTCCACTCCCTTGATTTCTTTTCTTCCTTGTACTTCTTATTTCTATAATCTAAGATTAAGTGGCTCAAGGCAACTCTTGACATGCTTAGATGAGCCTCACCCATGAAGGAACTGCACAGCAGAGCCTGGGAAGCTACCCATGACATATTCGATATGCCAAAAACACTAACAATAACAGGTCTCATTCCCCTGACCCTGAAAGAGCCCCCAATATGACAATTTTGGGAAGAATGAGTAAGGAGAGGCTGCTAAAATCTCAGGCTCTTTGTGTTCCTGGAGCGAGCAGATGCCATTGGGCTACACTAGCATGCGACAGGGATGAATGGAGATGTTACTGGCACCTGTTAAAGCAAATCCATGAGCAATGGGATGACAGTGATACAGTAGAGGAGAAGCCACTGGGTGGGGAAGCTTCCCAAGAGAGTGTGAAAGGGTATAGGATGGAACAAAATACTTTCCTTCAACTCATATAAGTCATAAAATAACCCAAAAGCTGGTTTGTGGCACTGGTTGAATTAATATTGATTTTCTTATATTATTTTCACTCTCACAGGATCTTCAAGAAGAAGGCAGAGATGCACTGGCTCGTTTTGTCATATTTGTCTTTGGAGGAGTTGATAGGTTCCTGCACTTCCTCTGGAATAACCACTTGATGTAAAGGAAATGCAGGCGTCCAGTTCTGTTTCTCTCTGCCCTCTGAGAAGAAACCCGAATCCCCAGAATGGATGGGAAGAAGATTCTCTCTGTATCTGTCTTTTTACCCACCACTGTTGATTTATGTCTGGATTTTTGGAAAGCTGTCAACTCACTGATCATTTGTCTGCTCAGAGCCACTAGCTATGAGATGTCTAGAACCACAAGCTATGAGATGTCTAGAACCACAAGCTATGAGATGTCTAGAACCACAAGCTATGAGATGTCTAGAACCACAAGCTATGAGATGTCTAGAACCACAAGCTATGAGATGTCTAGAACCACAAGCTATGAGATGTCTAGAACCACAAGCTATGAGATGTCTAGAACCACAAGCTATGAGATGTCTAGAACCACGAGCTGTGAGATATCTAGAACCATGAGCAATGAGATGCTCTAGAGCCACTAGTTTCATGGTAGAGCCCATGGAATACTGAGAAAATGCCAGAGAATGCCAGTGCTCTCGTAAAAAAGTCTCTCTCATCTCTGGAAGGATGAATGAATCTGAACCTCATCCTCAAACCAGAGAACACCAAACAGATGCCTTCTTGGGCTTCTCTCTGGGTTCCATGCCCTCGAGCCTTTTGTTGCCTGAGGCCAGACTGCAGAGCACAGTCTTCTCCCTTTGCCTTCTGTCTACCTCATAGATCCTCTCTCCCCCAATTCAGAAGTATTACAAGTACTAAAGTTTGTTGTCATAAATAAGTTCTATGTATGCGTTTTGCATACTCGTAGGAAAATGTTATTTCAAATAATTTTAAAATAAATACTGCTTTTTTACTGACCATGAAACATCAGTGTATATTTCTTTCTTTCTTTTTTGGTGTTTGGGCCACTCCTGGTGGTGTTTAGGGCTGCTCCCAGGATTATGCTGAGGGGTCATTCCTGGCAGTGCTTAGCAGACCCTGAGCATCCAGGGATCGAGCCTAGACCGCCTCCATTCAAGGATTCTTCATGCTTTGGGACTGCTATTTCTTTCTGAAGGATGGAGTCCACTTGTTTGTAATTTGCAGGGGTGATGCAAGGGATTGAACCCACAGTCTCAGGCCTGCAAGGCAAATACTATAATCCTGAGCCACATCTTCAAGCTCTGGTTTGTAATTTGTCGGCCATTTCCTAAAGGAAATGTCCCCATTTCTTTAGTCCATCTCAGGCAATACCTGTTTATTTGCATCACCACCTAAGTTTTAACTTGCTGGCATGGAACAGATTATAAAGCTTACTTTGTTTTTTTTTTTTTCTTTTTGGGTCACACCCGGCGATGCACAGGGGTTACTCCAGGCTTTGTACTCAGGAGTTGCTCCTGGTGATGCTCGGGGGACCATATGGGATGCTGGGAATCAAAGCCGGGTTCAGCCGCATGCAAGGCAAACGCCCTACCCACTGTACTATAGCTCCAGCCCCTAAAGCTTACTTTTTAAAAAAAGTTTTCATTCCTATGGTTCAAACAATATGGAGAGGTTTACATAGAAAACCCTTGCTATTTCTATCCTGAATCCTAATTATGTTTATTCACTTTACATATCCTTCTGGCATTTGGGTGTACTAATAGCAATATACACATATATCACCCTACATATTCTTACAAAAACTAGCTTATAATCCATGCTGCTCTGTGCTTGGATTTCTTTCTTTTTGCTTACCAGTGTTTTCAGGCACTTTTGTAGAGGTATCTTGCAATTGTTAACTCATTTACTCATCAAAATCTGATGAGACATTATTATTATTATTATTATTATTATTATTATTATTATTACTGTCTTACCGTTAAAGGCACTGAAATGGTAGTGGAGAATGGCAGTAAAAAGATTGACCAAAGGAACATATGTGGGCTAGCAAGAAGAGACAGAGATTTGGGATTTTAAGTCAGACAGGCTGTCCCCAAGGTGCAGAACATAAGTGCTGTGCAGAATCCTTTGGGGAGCATGACACAGTGCTCAGAGAGCTTCATCAGAGGCCACACATTGTTGCCTGTGGCCAGACTGCAAGACATCTGTCTTCTTCCTTTACTTTCTGTCTACCTCATATGACTTCTCTCTCCTCGATTCAGAAGTATTACAAGCATTAAAGTTTGTTATTATAAATAAGTTCTAAGTATGAATTTTGTAGAAAAATTGTTATTTAAATTTTTTGATGAAATACTGCTTTTTATTTAACCATGAATCTTTCTCTTCCTTCTTTCCTTCCTTCCTTTCTTTCTTTCTTTCTTTCTTTCTTTCTTTCTTTCTTTCTTTCCTTTGGTGTTTTTGTATCTTTGGCCCTAAGGACTTACTCCTGCCTCTGCACTCAGGGATCACTCCTGGCAGTGCTCAGGGGACCATATGGGAAGCTGAGGATCAAACCCAGCTTGGCCATGTGCAAGGTAAGTGCCTTACCTGGTGTTCTGTCACTCTGGCTTATTTACTGTGTTTCTTTTTTTCTCAAACACGGGAGATCATTCTGTATATATCTGTCCCCGTCCTTCTGACCGACTTCACTCAGCACAATTATTCTCATTTAATTTTTATGGCTACAAAGGTGTCAGGTACTTGCTGTCAAACATTAATAAATGGCAGTAACATGCAAAAATGTATAGAAAAATCAAATCCATCCAAAAATAACCAAGGGAAATTGGCTAGCAAGACCCTTTCTTTTCAGGCACTGAAGGCATTCTCCTGTCATATCCATGAGCGGACAATGGCGTATTTATATGTTTCAAATGGCAAAGCTGACAGGTAGAAAAGCTAAGTGATAGGCTCAAAGTCACACCAGGCGTGCAGTCCTGCTGATAATCTACTAGATTTGTGTGTGCGTACACAAATGTGTGGTCCCAGGGATCCAACCCGAGCATCACAAAGGTAAGGCATGTGCTCTGCCACTAAAAGATTTTTAAATTTTGCGTCACACCCAGTAGTGTTCGGGGGATTTTTCCCTGTGCAGTGCTTGGGGTGACTCCTGGAGGTGCTTGGAGACTATCTGGGGCCAGAGACAGAAAGTAGGGCTCCTGCATGCAGAGCCCTGCAGCCCTTGGAGTCATCTCCCAACCCAACCACTCACAGATTTTAAACACACTTGCCAGCTGTGGGAATTGTAGTGTAGCTAGCTGCACCCTGTAGAGATCTTTGTTCTAGGCAGGATATCAGGGTGCCCACTGGGAGGCAGTAATGATCTGAGTTGGGAAGCAGGACGGCCACTTCCTGCTTGGCTGTCCCAGGGCTGGAATCAATACACTCCACTAATCTCCTGTGATTTCTGGGTGACGACTTGCTTTTTGAGCCAGCAGGGGCAGGGCTGAGCAGAAAGTGGGGTGTGACTTCACTGGCCTTGGAAAGACCCTGCTCTCCTCAGATGCCTCTCTTTCCCACCCCCTGCAATTCTTTTTTTTTCCACTTTATTTAAACATCTTGATTTACAAAGTTGTTCATAATACAGTTGTTTCAGGCATTCAATGTTCCAACACCCCATCCCAGCATCAGTGTGACCTTCCCTCCACCGGTTCCCCAATTTCCCACCTACCCCCAAGCCTGCCCCCTAGGCAGGCACAAGATTGTTTAGTTTTAGTTGCTTGTTATAACACGCACTAAAAAATTACTCCTATATTAATAATTCCCTTTGTCGTGGGGGTTGTTGCTTAGATGTATGGGATGGCACATGCTTATTGGCCCTCTGAGGTGACACTGGCTCTCTGAGGTTGCACAGGCATGCTGACTATATGTTTGTCTTAAAATTGTTTGGATAGACCAAACATGATTGCCACTCAATGCCTCTCTTGCAAACCACAGGACCCAAAAGGAGAGAGAGAGAACAAAAGGGAATGCCCTGCCACAGAGGCGGGGTGTGATGGGGGGCATGGAGGGTGGGAGAGATGCTGGGACCCGTGGTGGTGGAGGATGGGCGCTGGTGGAGGGATGGGTACTTGATCATTGTATAACTGAAACCCAAGCACAAACATTTGTAAGTCTATAACTGTAACTCATGGTGTTTCACTAATAATAATAATAATAATAATAATAAATTATTTGAATTTGGGGGTGGAGCGATAGTACAGAGGGTAGGGCATTTGTCTTGCACGTGGCTGACCTGGGTTCGATCCCCGAAATCCCATATGGTCCCCTGAGCACCGCCAGGAGTAATTCCTGAGTGCAGAGCCAGGAATAACCCCTGAGCATCACTGGGTGTGACCCAAAAAGCAAAAATAAATAAAATCCGCCAAGCTTTAAATAATTAATTAATTAATTTAAAAATTATTTGGATTCCATCCTTGCTTTCATGAAGAGCTGGTAGCACCTGAAATTTCATTTTTCTTTACTTTTTAAATTTTTCATAAAGTTGTTCACAATAATTGTTCACTTTCAATATTTCAACACCAATCCCACCACCATTGCACCTTCCCACCACGGTTACTTTGAATCTTCCCACCACCACCCCATCCTGCCCCTTAGGCAGATGCTAAATAGTTTATTGAGGCTTTTTCTCCTGGAAGGGAGCAACACGGTGCCCCATAACCATGTCACCAGACCCTGTGTCAGGCTATTTCACTTGGGGCGCCCCAGAGAGGGGTGGGTGAGAGCCCTCACCGCCCCAAGTGACCCAGCCCCGGCAGACGAAAACCTCCACATACCAGTCTCCGCCATGCTCAAGGTTACGCCCCACATGCTCGGGCAGAGCCTCGTGCACGCAGGAGTGAATGTATTCCTGGACCACGTGACTGCATTCGAGGCCTCAGAGACACACCGTAAGACACTCCCTACCCATTATCCAAGAGTACCAGAGCACATTTGATGGGGTTCAATAGTAGGCAACCAATCATAGAGGGAAATATATATATATGTATATATACATATTTTCAGATCACTTGATCACTTGACATCTTGTTACTCATAGATTTGCTCGAGCAGGTGCTAGTAATGTCTCCATTTGTCCCTGTCGTGTGCTAGTGTAGCCCAGTGGCGTCTGTTTGTTCTAGGAACACAAAGAGCCTCAAAC